TTCAATTTACATGCGGAACAACCTGCTCCCAGTGGCCGCGGGAAGCAACTTCAACTACATTTATTCACTTTACACTTACTTCTAAAAATTCCCTTCTCTGCCTATTCTATTTCCCCACCCCACAAAACCCTATAACCACCGTTTTTGCAGAACAAAATGCTGGGACTAGGGGTATATGAGTGGGGCTACATAAGCTACTTTTGCCCAGAGGTTCACCAAAGCCTGCCACAATTTTGGATAGTGTTTCAGACGCGCAACCCCAGCTAGGACAACAAAAGTTTGAAGGAAGTTTAAACTTGGATAAGGAAGAAGGATTGTTGAACACCGGATCCATCAGTTTATTATTCTGAGCTTTCGAACTCTTGTAGGTGTCTATTGTGAGAGATAGGAAACAGCAACAAAAACGGGCTTATTACATTGAGTGTACATCAATCAACTTTCCGGGGTCGTCAGGTCGTAAGAGGTAAGAAAGAATGATGAAAAAAGGGAGGGGGGGAAGGGGCAATTATAAGGGTATACGTTAGTTAATTGTCAGTGATGTTAAGGTTCGTCAGGGCGACAGCAACAAAAGTGGGGGCAATTATAGAGGATGTGCGTCCATTAATTGTGACGGGCGTGACTGCGTAAGGCTCTGTACGCCATCGGTTGATTGAATTCCCGCCGTGGACGAGGCTTCAATCAATTCTCGGCTCATCTTGTTTCCGGCGTGGGAAAGTACCTTGACGGCCGCGAATTTGAACTCATGGCCTGTTTCGCACATATGAGCCGCAGTTTATGATACCTTGTCTCCTCATTTTAGGGCCAGTTTACGTTCGTGTATGCGCGATCCGAGCATGCGTTCAGTTTGGCCTGTGTTGCTACGCGGACGGCTTACACGCGGCATGCGATACACAGATCGTTCACTGAAATTAAGTCGGTATTTTGTTTTCATTACCCTGCTGCGCATGGTTGCTTTGGGTCTGTGTGCCATTCCAACACTTAGTCCCGCAGTGATGCGTTCAGTCGCCCCTGAGACGTCCTCGGTGCATGGTAGAGCGTGCAATATCTTCGGTGGTTCTTCTGTCAGGGTCCTTCGGGGCCGAACGCATAGGCATAGATTTATAAGTGCTCTCGGATAACCATTCCGCATAAAATGGTCGCGGAGATATCGGGCCTCGCGTACCTGTTCCTCCGGCCTACTGTAGTGAGCCTGAATCCGTTTAAAGAACATTTTTACACATAGCTTATTTTGTGAGCAACTGGATGGTTGCTGTGAAACCTGGGAAGTTGTGTTGTGTTCGTTGCCCTCTTATAAACCGTTGTCTCACTTTCACCGTTGGGCCTTCTCTTAGAGGAGGACATCAGCAAAAAGCACCTGCTGCTCTTTTTCTCCTTCCCTCGTGAATTGTATGTCAGGAGAGATTCCATTGAGCAAGTTATGGAAGTTTTTTAGCATGTGCTTCTTGATGATAACAAACGTGTCGTCAACGTAACCGCGCCAAAAGACAGGCTTGCTTTGGGTGAAGGCCGTGTTTTCCAGCACCTGTAGGACCAGTTTTGCCACTGTTAACTTAAACACTAAGCGGCGACTAGGCAGACCACCTATCACGAAAAAAAGTTGCTAACTTTGTAACAGAGAATGCTGGCACACGTCAGCGATAAAATACACGAGCGTGTTTAACCTCACAAAGTTCTGGTCACATATATTTCAAGAAGGAGGAAGTTATTTGCATATCAAATTACTAAACGTATAAAACATTGAGTCGACTTGGCCAATATATAGAAAGGGACACGGCTGAACGACGCAGCCTCTAGAGGAGACTACTACTTAAAATATGTCGTAGCTCGATTGTTAGGGCGTTTAACTCTGGATCTGGGCATGACTGG